GCGAATCTATCGGACATCGAGAATACGTCGAGCGTTCGGCGCCATATTCAGCCAGTATCATGGATCGCGGGATCAGAACGGGCAAGCAGGTGTTGTAACAGTTATGGTCGTATCTCGTATGGACAGTCGAGCGGTCGGCGGTAACCGGTAACGTGTTATCACAAATTGATACGCGGTTTTATTATTTATTGTATGTAAACAAACCATTGTCTATGATACTATATCATTGTTTTGTATTTTGGTTTATTTTATTATTGCCTTCGCGGCTTGTGTATTATTATATGTATTTTTTTCTCGAATAACGAGTAGATAATCCGTTATTATATTATATAGTAGGTGGGCGCCTACATCCCTAAAATTTTGTATAAATATTATGATTTATTAATATTATCTATTATCTTTCCATGTTGTGTGGTGTTTTACATTTGAATACAGTCCACTTTAAATTACACACAAAAACTCGTCAAAATGTTTTTTATTTATTAGTATTAATACCCTATATCTCTAGGTAAATTATTATAATACACGACGCAACAATATGTGATTGTGAGTGTAGTCCCGAATTTATATTTTTGATCAGCTACGTTGTGTGAACTTATAATTATATTTTCCTGATTAAGTTATCCATTATTATTCCTGTAAGGTTTTCAGTATGGTTAATAAGTACTAACATAATTTTGATACCAAGTTATATTAAACAGAAATAAAAAATTAATATATTTAAAAAAATTAATAAATACACAGTACACTACCTGATAATCTAAGAAACTAAAATACAAATTAATAACTAGTAAAAATGCGGGTCTTATATTTATCAAAAACTATAAACTTGAAAGTCTGTCTCATACCAAAATATTTGTGTTAAATTTATTGAGAAATTGTCAAATAAATCAATGTAGACTTTCATCTTTAATTATAACTTTTTAGGAACAGTTTATAACTAAAAAATACGTTTTAATTTATAGTTATTCCATTAAGTAAGTAATCAGTTTTTTTTGTAAATTTATATTTGAAATGTTTTGTGAATATGAAAATATAGAGAATATTAGATAGTTAAATACAATCAACTTTATTCGAAATACATAATTATTAGAATATTATACAAAGTTACCTGCACCAATACTGACCATTATTGAAGTAGCCAAATAGGCATAGAAATCCAATTATGCAATTTCAGTTATTATACAATATTATTAAAGTATGGATACTTCATTTATTAACGAAAAATAAAACAAAATGTGTCTTTAACTCAAATAAGACAAGTAACTATGCAGTTCTTATATGTATATAGATATTCAGAGAGAATAATATTATATTAAAATTTTACTTAAAACAATTAATTTTTAAACGAAAAACCAAAACTTTTTTTTTATTTCAACCAAGTTATACTTAATGTGAATGAATCGATAACTAATTATTCTTACAACTTCATTCGTATCATAGTGATGTGATGTATAGTGTACACTTTGAAATGTTTGATAAATTAATTTATAATATGCATATCTTTATTGAATACATTACACATATAGTTAATAACCCATCTAAAAGTTCTTGTCCTATTTATCTTTGTACATTTGTAAATTAAAAAAAATTTTTTAGGAATGATTGAATGAAAAATAATACAATCCATATATATTCTACAGTTATTATAATTCCTTTTCTGCATTACTCTATTGAGATTAAAGTTATTTTGTCATAATTTCATGTAAAAAGTTACTCACATGTATTTAAGACTTCTAAAGTACCCCCCTCCATTTTAATTTCCCATCCATGGCACTCTACCCACTCATCCATTGCATTTAAATGTTATGTACACATTTTTCAATCAGGTGTTACAACACTTGAAATAATCACGTATGACTTTTGCAGACAGATGAAAAATAATATAATTTTTCTATATGATAAGTAAATAAATTATTTGCTGTGAACATATTTATCTTGAGTTGAAGGGGGATGGATTAGAATCAGATCGTGTATAAAAGACAGTGAGAAATTGAATTAAATTGTATTCATTGCTCAAAGTTCACATAATTTTTGTTATTTTATTACATTCAATCAAAATGATTTTTTCTAAGCATAGCTTAATAACCTTTACAATTTTAAGTATTCAAATTTTAGCTGGGAGTTCAGATACACGTTTAAAAGCGTTACGAAGTATGGAATAATTTAATATGGTTTTTAGTAAATAGACAATAATGTGGACTAATAAAATATTATTGTTTTATTTTTAGATGCAGTTCAAAGTAATATTTTTAGTTAATAATCAATAAACAAATAGTATCTAACTTATAATATTTATGATAAGCTCACAATGAAATAAATTAAAGGTGCATTGTATTGTGTATTCTTATATAATGTGTGAGAGTAATTGCCATTTTGAAATCGATTTCGACAAAATTGTACTTTACGTAATCAGTAAATTCGAATCAATTGTTTATTTATTTAAAATCAACGGGCCAAAGCCCTTTAACAAAGAAAGAAAAACATTATTATATGAATTGGCACAATATGAAAACAATAGACAAGTGATAATAATAAAAGTAAAAATAGTAAGAAATACAAAGACAAAATTTTAGTATATAAAACATAACTATAAAAAAATATTTAGGTACTATGATATAGAAATAAAAAAGTTTTATATTTAAATACTTGAAAAGTCAAAACGAAAAAATCCAAGACTGTGGAGATTCTATTGGCGTTGGTAATGGCTCTTGAAAAAAATGAATTTTTTCCACTATTAGTATTAAAATTAGGTGTATGGAACAAATCAGAATTACGTGTAAACCTACTAGGGATTCTAAATCGTATAAAATTTAAAACAGCTGGGCAGTTTATATTATTATTTAAAATATCACAGACAAGCATTATATCAAATAAATCACGCCTGATGTTAAGAGAGTTAATACCTATAGAGTTTTGAACCAAAAGGAAAGAGTCTCTGGATATAGTACAATGAGTAATAAAGGCGACTCTTTACAGAAATATATACTGAATATTATTAAGCTCGTTTGAGTAAGTAGAATAATTATTAGACCAAATTAAAGAGCCAAATTCTAGGTTTGATCTAACTACAGAAGAATTATTAATTGATGTAGATTTCTATATTACAGTCGATTTGTGGTATTCATAAATTATTATATTTATTAGAAAGGTTTCTTGAAATCATTGTTGTAATGTTTCATTTCACAAATAATAAAGAATAATGTTTGATAAATTAATATAAAAATATCATAAAGAGTAAAAGATCTTAAAAATGTTTATGTAAGTAATTTCAAAACTGTAGGACTGTATCATTTTAGAACTATATTCATATTAATTCACATTGGGTTTGTTTAATTAAAATTTGAGTGTAACTGTACCTAGTAAATATTGTTAAATATGTAGAGTTCCAAAAATAAGTTACTCAAACATTAAAAAACTAGGGTACATTTCTTCTTATAGGTGATGAATATTATGTATATATTATATACGATTTGTATTTTACAACTATAGGTTATTCAAATTATCTATTACAATTGTATAACAGTATAAACCGTATGCCTGAATGAAATATGAATGTAATAATGTATAATTATACACAAGATTAGGAAAGTAGTGATTTTTACTATTTTTGTAATACTGTTTTAAATTATAATATTACATATAATGTATACTCGACATATAACAAACCATGATAATCGTACAATAATTATATTAAATAGTATAAATAATAAGTAATACTTAATAACTAATGAGTGTGTATTATGAATCGTAGGTCCGAGGGTTCGTAATCTATGGATGTCTTTATATAGGCGAATAATTTTTCACTATTACCATTATATATTATTATTAATTATTACCTAATTAATACGAAATACAGGTTTTTATCTGCAAAAATATTTAAGAAATTATTGGTTAAAATACCTTTGCTTTCTAATAATATTTTCTATATTTTCCGAATTTATAACTTATACAAATAATATTTTCCTGGATAATATGAATATTCAAAATTGACTTAGTTATCTTATTTGTAAGAAAAATTATGAACTGTACAAAGACAAATGTGTGTGTCAGTACGCATGCCGAAATTTAGAACAGGAATGATAGCTGTGCAAACGGTTTAATTCATCGATAAAATACAAAGTAAACATTTATTAAATATTTTGATACATAGTAGCTACGTTGCTACTGTACTCAGCCGTTTTTGAGCTTAGAAATGTGGTAATACAAATATTTACACCTGTTATAAGCTGCAAGCTAACGGAACCACAAAATACATATAATAATACACACAGGTGGCCATAAGTATAAGTAAGTGAAGCATTTTAATCACTGAACTAAATGGAAGATTGTAAATTAAGCCTTAATTCATGTTATCATGTGTTCATTAATTATATATTTTGTACAAGTTCATTTTTTAACTTGCAATTTTTTTTGGGCAGAAATTAAATAAACCTTGCTTTACATACTCAGAATAATAAATAATACTTACGAGTTCAATATAATATTGAGTTCGGGCACATTTAAATTCCTTCCTGAATGAACTACAGCAAAAATAAAGCACATGTAAACTCAGTTCAAAATAGACTTAATAAAATTAATTCAGAAGTATTACCGAGATGGATATCGAACAACCCATTACATTCCTACAGGAACGTTGCAGAAGTCGTGTGGCCATATGTGAACATTGCAATGTTTACAAAATAACTTTATAGATAAGACACGTAAACATATTTCTATGCTATATAGCATATACTATCAATTATGCAATTTTTCGGTTATCCTATGGCTGTCGACTTCAATATTATCTTGTAGTTGGTCTTCTCATAGGGAAATCTTATATTGACCTATTGAAGGCCACCACTTTCCACTCGTACGATGTTCCGAACATAAGAGTTGGATGAAGGTAGTGGGTAAGATTGGAGGCTAAATTCTGTTATGTCTGTCCCACATCAAGAATTTTTCCCTTAAAAAATCACTAAATAGAATAAATCAATTATTTTAGTCCTTAATGCAATTTTTAGTGGCTCATGATTGGATAATTAGATACTATAAGTGAACGATTTAAATAATCAAATGTGTATTTTACTAATGCAAAGTTGTCTACATTTTTAAAATTTAACTTTTAGGTATTCTAACTGAGTTTACTAACTTTGAAAGTAAGTTCA